GTAAAATCATTAAAAAAAAAAAGCGCTTCTGCTGTGCTGCAAAGATTTTGAACTGTTGTGTTTTCATTTTTATTAGTCTCCAGGTATTTTTAAATTTCATCTTTCCCATCCTTGTTGACATATTGGTTGGTTAGTAGCACATTTTTTTAGTTTCTGCATGGTTGTGTTTTTCCAGTTTTCGTTGTTGCTGTGGTTACTGATGTCTAGTTCCATATCATTGTCATTAGAAAACATGTTTGATATGATTTCAATCTTCTTAAATTTATTGCGACTTGATTTATGACATAATGTGGTTTATCTTGGAGAATGTTACATGTCCACTTGAAATGAATTATATATTCTTCTGTTTTGGGATGGAATGTTCTGTATATATTTGGTTCTTTGGTCTAATGTGCCATTCAAAGCCAGTGTATCTTGATTGATTTTCTGTGTCATTGATCTATCCATTGATATAAGTGGAATGTTAAAGTGTCTTATAATGATTATATTACTCTGTTTCTCCCCCACTTTTTAAAAAGATTTTATTTATTCATGAGAGACACAGAGGCAGAGACACAGGCAGAGGGAGAAGCAGGCTCCGTGCAGGGAGCCTGACATAGGACTCGATCCCGGGTCTCCAGGATCACACCCTGGGCTGCAGGCGGTGCTAAACCACTGAGCCGCCTGGGCTGCCCTCCCCTTTTGTTTATTAACATTTGTTTTATGTATTTAGATGCCCTAATGTGGGTGTGTGTTTACAGTTGTAATATTTATTCTCTTGTTGGATACATCCCTTTATCATTACGTAATGCCCTTCTTTGTCTTTTGTTGCAGTCTTTTAGAGTCTGTTTTGTCTGATAGAAGTATTGCTACCCAGCCTTTTTTGTTTTTATTTCATTTGCATGGAATAGTTTTCCATCTCTCACTTTCAGTCTGTCTTTTTGTCTGAAGTTAAGTCTCTTGTAGGCAGCATGTAGATGTGTCTTTTTTTTTTTAATGCATTCGGTCACCCTGTGGCTTTTGATCATAATGTTTAGACCATTCACATTTAATTATTAATAGGTATGTACCTTTTGTAATTTTGTTAATTTTTTCTGATAGCTTTTGGAGTTAGGTATCTTTCTTTGTTCTCTTGTTCTTTTCCCTCATGATTGGGGACATGTAGTTTTATGCTTGAATTCCTTTTTATTTTTTTGTGGTCTATTACAGGTTTTTGTGTTGCAGTTACCATGAGGTTCATATGTAACATTCTAAGTATATAGCAGTCTGTATTAAGTTGATGGTTGCTTAAGTTCTAACACACTTTCAAAGACTGGATTTTGGGATGCCTGGGTGGTTCAGCAGTTTAGCGCCGCCTTCAGCCCAGAGTGTGATCCTGGAGACGGGGGATCGAGTCCCACATCGGACTCCCTGCATGGAGCCTGCTTCTCCCTCTGCCTGTGTCTCTGCCTCTCTTTCTGTGTCTCTTGTGAATAAATAAATAAAATCTTAAAAAAAACAACAACAAAGGACTGGATTTTTACTTTCCCCATCCATCTTTTATATGTTTTACATATTTTTATTTTGTGAATCCCTTAATTTTTTAGGTACAAATAATTATTACTACTGTTGCCTTTTTACCTTCTTACTAGCAGTGTAAATGATTGATGTACTGTGTGCCCTTACCCTTGAAGTTTTTTTCCTGTCATAGCTTTCTTACCGTTCGTCATGGCTTTTTCTTTTCCACTTAAAGAAGTCCCTTTAGCATTTCTTGTAAGACTGGTTCAGCGGTGATGAACTCCTTTAACTTGTTTGTCTGGGAAACTGTCTCCTTTGATTTTGAGTGATAACCTTGTAGTGCAGAGTATTCTTGGTTCTAAGTTTTTTCCTTTCAGCACTTTGAATATGTCTTACCACTCTCTCTTGGCCTGCAAAGTTTCTGCTGAAAAATCAGGTGATACCCTCATGGGTTTTTTTTGTTGTTGTTGTTGTACATAACTGTTTGGTTTCCTCTTGCTGCTTGTAGGATTTTCTCATCTTTAATCTTTGACATTTTAATTATTACTTGTTTTGGTATGGGCCTTTTTTGGTTCATCTTATCTGGGGTTCTCTGCTTCCTGGATCTGGATGTCTCTTTTCTTCCCTAGATTAGAGAAGTTTTCAGCTATTATTTCTTCATATGAGTTTTCTGCCCCTTTCTCTCTTAGCTCCTTCTAACAGCTGCATGATGTGAATGTTGACTTGCTTGATGTTGTCACAGGCCCCTTAACAATCTTCATTTTTAAAAATTTCTTTTTGATGTTCAGCTTAAATGTTTTTTGTCACCCTGTTTTCTGGATTGCTCATCTGTTCTTCTGCATCCTCTAATTTCCTGTTAATTACCTCTGGTGTATTTTTTATTTTAGCTATTTTAGTTATTACCTCAGATTAAAAAAAAATAGTTTCCTTTTGTTGAAGTTCCTATTCTTAGTTCATTCACTCTCAAGTCTGGTGAGCAACTTTACGATCGTTACTTTGAAATCTTTGTCAGGTTGATGGCTTACCTCATTTTGGTTTAGTTATTTTCTTGAAATTTTGTCTTTGTCTATTCCTCTGCCCCCCCTTTTAAACTTGATTTTGTGTTTGTTTCTATGAATTAGGTGAAAGAACTACCTCTCCCAGTCTTAGAGGAGTGGCCTTACATAGGCACATTGCCCTTGTGGACTGTGTTCCTCTTGGGTTTGGGTAGCTGGCTGGCTCGAGTTGTAATGGGTGTGGGCTCTGGGTCCTGGGAGCAGAACCTGGTACGGATGGAGGTGTCTCAGGGTGGTTTGCACTGTGCCCCCTTGGTGAGATTACTGGAGCCATAGTGGATGTAGGCCTGGTGTGTGCCCCCACTGGGGCTTCCCTGCTTTGAAGGCTGGAGCTGGTGTGTGCTTGGGGCCCAGGACTAGCTGAAGTGGCGGGGTGTCTAGAACACCTGGTCCTTGTTCCTGTGTGAACTTTCAAGGTGGGAGGGGGAAGGTAAACATTGGCACTCACCAGCACCTCTGACTCCACTGTTTGGCGGATGTTCTGGGGTTAATAAATGGTTTTCCTTCACTCATCGTCTAGTTACCCTTTAAACTGTAGTTTATTTTCTTTGCCCCGGGCAGGTGAATCTGTACACGCGTCTGTCAGTGATACCTTCCACTATTGGAGTTTGTGGTGTCAAGGTGGCGTTGCCCTTACTACTGGGCTTCTCTTTCTTTTGCCATACTGATTGAGGTCCCTCTAGCCTTGTACTGTGCACAAGGTGTTCTGTCAACCTCTGTTCTTCAGAAGGAAATGATTAATACGTAGGCATAAATGTGGTGAGTCCCTGGCAGGAGAGGAATTTAGGGTCTTCCTCTCCTGCCTTCTTGTACCCATCCAAACACTTTTTATTTTTAAAATACTGATTGTGGAGGCACCTGGGTGATTCAGTGGTTGAGTGTCGGCCTTTGGCCCAGGTTGTGATCCTGGGGTCCTGGGATGGAGTCCTGCCTCAGGCTCCCTACTCTGCGGGGAGCCTGCCCTTCCTCTGCCTCTCTCTCTCTTTGTCTCTCATGAATAAATAAAATATTTTTTTTAAATAAAATCTTTTTAAAAAATTTAAAAATGGGAAATATATGCAGTTGAATCCTTGAACAACATAGGTTGGAACTGTATGGGTCTACTTATATGCAGATTTTTAAAAATAAATACAGTGCCCTAAATGTGTTTTTTCTTTCTTACGATTTTCTTAATATTTTTTCTCTAGTTTACTCTATTGTAAGAGCACAGTATATAATCATTTAACATGACAAAATACATATTGATCTACTGTTTATGTTATTGGTAAGGTCAACAGTAGGCTGTTAGTAGTTAAGTTTTGGGGGAGTCAAAAGTTAAATATGGATTTTCGACTCCACTGGGGTTGGTGCCCCAAACCCCCGTGTCTTTCAAAGGTCGTATGTGTTAAAATGTTTATCAATTTATTGATCCTTGATGCTGCCAGTTAATTTATGATTTCATCATTATTTCACTAGTTGCCTTATTTATATAGGCGTGGTTAACTTGAGTAGTGCCAGTGAGATTGGATGTTAATGTTCTCTACTCAAACCATAACCTCAAATCCTGCCATCTTAGCACCTCTGCCAGTGGCATCAGAAATACATGAAAGCCTAGCTATTTAGGTCTGGCTGATGATGGACCACGAGCATCATCTTTTTAATTAGTTAATTTATTTTTCTTCTAAGATTTTATTTAAATTCAAGTCAGTTAACATATTGTGTACTATTGGTTTCAGGAGTAAAATTTAGTGATCCATCACTTACAACACCCAGTACTCATCACAAGTTCACTCAGCAAAATGCCCATTACTCATTTATCCCATCCCCCACTCACCTCACCTCCAGCAATGCATCATCCTTAAAAACAAAGGATTCTACATTTCCATTTTTATTTGCTAGTTACTTCCTTCAGACATTGGGTTTCCTTTACTCGTACTTCAAATTCAAACTCAAATTCAAACGTTTTGGCCTCAAAGTCCAAGTAGAATGTAAGACCGAAAGGACAAGTAATGCTTTGTGGTGTGATCATTAAGTCCTTGTTGTTGTTGTTGTTTTCCAGACATCAAAATGATTACTTGCTTTAGAATGATATGATAGCCCTTGGGAGAACATGAATGATTATACTTAAGTAGCATTTCTCAAGGCTAGCAAAATACAGTTGCCAAATAGTTATACTCTGTAGTTCTAATCTAGCTGCTGCTTTATTTTTTTAAGCATTAAAATGAAATTGAGGTTTTAGGAATTTTTTGGCTTGTTTCTAAACCAGTGATTGTCTATATTACATCAGAAAAGTCTGGCTAAGTTGAATTTGTCAATTTTACAACTTTGGAATTAAGTATACTTATTTTAGGTTTCTCCATTTTAACATAGTGATCATTTGTATTTGAATAAAGTGAAATATGTAATTATACTTTATTGAAGTATTGTCATACAGTGTTACATGAGTTTTAGGTGTACAACACAATGATTAACTTTGATTTCTTTTAATAGAAAATGAATGCGGTGTTAGAAGATCACTACTATTGGAAGGCTGGTTAGCATCGATTTCCTAACAGATACTTGACCACCATTTGTTCTGGCATGGCGCAAAGCAGTCCGCAGCTTGATATGCAGGTTCTCCATGACCTCCGACAACGTTTCCCAGAGATTCCAGAGGGTGTTGTGTCTCAATGCATGTTACAGGTAGATTACCCAGCAATGATAGTGATATTAAGCTACGGTTTTCCTTCTTAGATCTGGCTTTGCTTTGTAGTGACTAGAAGTCAGTTAAGTTTCCTGGTCTTTGTGGAGGGCAGTGGGAGATATCTAGAGCAGGATTTCTCAGCCTTGGTGCTGTCGACATTTTGGGCTGGGTTATCTTTGTTGTGGGGCCCTGCCTTGTACTTTGTAGACTGTTTAGCAGCATTCCTGATCTCTACCACTAGATGCCAATAGCAGTCTTGCAGTTGTGACAACCAAAACTGTCTCCACACTTTGCTAGATATCTTATGGGAGGTAAATCTACCCCATTGAGAACCAGTGATTTAAAGAAAAAAGTAAAGGCGTGTAGCAAAAGAAAAAAACTGGTTTTGTTTACATTTTAGTTTTTACATATTTGGAGTTGTGTGATCAGTCCCAAATCCTTAGATTTGAATTTTTTTTAAAGATTTTATTTATTTATTCATGAGAGATAGAGAGGGAGAGAGGCAGAGACACAGGCTGAGGGAGAAGCAGGCTCCATGTAGGGAGCCCGACATAGGACTCGACCCCAGGTCTCCAGGATCATGCCCTGGGCTGAAGGCAGTGCTAAACCTCTGAGCCACCCAGGCCACCCTAGATTTGAAATTTTTTTTAAAGATTTTATTTATTTTATTCATGAGAGACACACGGGGTGGGAGGAGGGCAGGCAGAAACACAGGCAGAGGGAGAAGCAAGCTGCATGCAGGGAACCTGACATGTGACTGGATCCCGGGTCTCCAGGATCACGCCGTGGGCTGAAGGCAGCGCTAAACCGCTGAGCCACCAGAGCTGCCCTAGATTTGAATTTTGAATCTCAAAATTACCATTATAAGTTTGTAGGCTATATACTTTTGAGCCAATTTTTTAAAGGTTTGTTTCTTACTGGTTTTCTAGTTGATAAATGCTTACTAATCTGTAATTTTAAGTGTAAGGCCACTTTCTCTAGTTTAATCATATTCCTTTGGTTTTGTTGTCTTGTAGTGAAATAAATCTTTAATATTCAGTATAATGTGTTTTTTTCCCATTCAAGGGACAACAGAGAAACTGGCCTAATGTTCCTTTTGTTGAATTTTGCATCATCCTCCGCAGGATCTCATGTTTTGGGTTATAGCATTTTCCTGTTTGGTTCACTTTTGGGTACAGTATTTTTGTCCACTGGACTTCCTCACACAGTTCAGATTATACCATACTGCATAATATGCAAACTCTACCTTACTGCAGTGTCAGTAGCTCAGGTTATCACCTAAGCCTATATACAGTTGAGGTTAATTGCAAATAGAGACTCACAGAACAATTGTGGTAAAAGGTGCTTCCTGGCCCTTCTACTAGGTCTAGACCATTGGGTCTAGACCATAATGCTTTTCTTCCTCAGTCTTTTCAAGAGTATGTGTCTATGTGTATGTATGTGTATATTTATATAAATATATAAATTTTTTAAATCTGACCTCTTGGGGTACCTGGCTGGCTCAGTCAGCAGAACAATTCTTGATCTCAGGGTCATGAGTTCAAGCCCCACATTGGGTGTGGAGCTTACTTAAAAAAAAATTCTGACCTCTTTATCCAACTAAATTTTTATTTCTTCATTCATATTTACTGTTTGATAAATTCTGCATTTTTTTTCTTTTGAAGGCATTGTGCAGGCTAAAGATATTAGAATTTATTTTGGTGATACTCTTTTAAAAATGTTTTCATAAAGGGCAGCCCTGGTGGCTCAGCGGTTTAGCACCACCTTCAGCTCAGGGTGAGATCCTGGAGTCCTGGGATCGAGTCCCATGTCGGGCTCCTTGCATGGAGCCTGCTTCTCCCTCTGCCTGTGTATATGCGTCTCTCCCTATCTCTCATGAATAAATAAATAAAATCTTTTTAAAAAATAAAAATGCTTTCATAAAGATAATACTTAAATATCTTATATTACTGGTTTAAATTTTTTCTTCAAAGGAAAATTTACTTACCTTATCACTGTAGACATGCATTTGAATAGGCTTTCCAGTCAACTTTGTAACATTGTGAATTTGGGTCCTCTTGTGAGAATACTATTTAGGCTATCTAATGCACTGTAGAAAACATGAAATTTCAGCAGTGTTAACACAAATGTCAAAAAGTGAAGTTTCCGTGAGTGCTTTAGGTTTCATGTAAAACTGGCTAATTTTTGGGGATCCCTGGTGGCTCAGTGGTTTAGCGCCTGCCTTCGGCCCAGGGTGTGATTCTGGAGTCCCGGGATCGAGTCCCACATCGGGCTCCCTGCATGGAGCCTGCTTCTCCCTCTGCCTGTGTCTCTGCCTCTCTCTCTCTCTTTCTCTCTCTGTCTCTCATGAATAAATAAATAAAATCTTTAAAAAAAAAAACTGGCTAATTTTTGTTCTCCTTTTAGTCTAATTCCAGAGATACTTTATTTTCATTTTTCAGTTCTTTTCTTTCAGATATCTGTCAGTGACATTTTCTAGTTGGCGATCAGTTTGAATCCTTTGGATCCAAATTTGCTTAATATCTAGCTTCTCTTCCTTGATCAGAATGATTTTTAAGCAGGATTTTTAAAAAGGCCAAACTTTGAGTTCTAATAATTTTCTTCTTAAATTTCAACAAATACTTATCTCCATGGCTCAGAATTTTAGTGTCAAAGCTTTATATAAGGAAAGAGATACAAGTTATGTATGGAGTTTTGATAAAGCCAATTCTATAAGTTTCTGGGAATTCATTTTGCAAAGATTTGCAAAACTGAATCTTTGTTTACTTCCTAAAGCTTTCGTATAGTAATTTACTCTTGGCCTAACGTCCTCTCCCTTGAAATTACTGTGTTATAGTTGAAACAGCAGTGAGAGTTGGGAGACCGAGAATCTAGAACTGGCTCTCCTGTTAACTAGTTAAATGCTTATTGTCAAGCCATGTAACTCTGCGGGCACCTCTTTCTTCATCTGTAGAGGAGTTTGAGTTCAAATAGATGAACCCTAAAAGTTATTCCTGCTCTAAAATTACAGCAGTATATGTTCTCTTTTAGGTTTCACCTTATTTGTCTCTCAGCAGAAGTGAAAGTGTTTCATTTTTATATAAAATGTGCTTTTTCCTAAAATCAGTATGTAGTAGTAGGTATGTATGTGCATATCTGTGTATTTATGAACTACAAAGTCACAGTAATTGAGAAATTTTATTTTTATTATTTTTTATAGATTTATTTTTTATTGGTGTTCAGTTTGCCAGCATATAGAATAACACCCAGTGCTCATCTCATCAAGTGCCCCCCTCAGTGCCTGTCACCCAGTCACCCCCACCCCCCCTCCCACCTCCCTTTCTACCACCCCTAGTTCTTTTCCCAGAGTTAGGAGTCTCTCATGTTCTGTCTCCCTTTCTGGTATTTCCCACTCAGTTTTTCTCCTTTCCCCTTTATTCCCTTTCACTATTTTTTATATTCCCCAAATGAATGAGACCATATAATGTTTGTCCTTCTCTGATGGGCTTATTTTACTCAGCATAATACCCTCCAGTTCCATCCACATCGAAGCAAATGGTGGGTATTTGTCGTTTCTAATGGCTGAGGAATATTCCATTGTATACATAGACCATATCTTCTTTATCCATTCATCTTTCAACGGACACCGAGGCTCCTTCCACAGTTTGGCTATTGTGGACATTGCTGCTATAAACATCGAGGCGCAGGTGTCCTGGTGTTTCACTGCATCTGTATCTTTGGGGTAAATCCCCAGCAGTGCAATTGCTGGGTGAGAAATTTTATTATTTCAAAGGCAGTGGATAATAGTGCTTTAGGTTAATAAGGTAGTTCAGGATTTTGTATTTTAATGGAAAGCTATCTTAAAATATTTTCAAATTTAAAAAGAACCTCCTTTATTTGATTATTGTTGGAGTGTCTAAAATGTCACTTTGGTATTACCATCTTTGTGTGTAAACTCAAAAAATTTAAATCCTACATTGACCAAATTACCTTTCAGTGGGTAAAAAAAATTTTGACTGTGAGAGTGTGAATGAATTTCATTAAGGCAGTCAAGACCTGTTTTTCTGTTAAATAACCTTAACTTTACCAAAGTTGTGGAACCATTGTTCAAAAAGTATACTTGTTTTTACTGATTTCTTTGTTTAGCTTAATCTCTCTTAATGATAGCTGAAGTTATATAGGGATAAATTTGGTTAAAAGAAAGGGCTGCTTTAGAATTTTTATTGTTTTGACTCTAGGAATTAAAATTTTTCTCCTTTTGTGGTTTCAGTACCTTTTGAAAATTAAAGCATGGTTATTTTCATGTTTTTTAATTTAAATATTAATAATGAATATTGCCTTAACTTGTATGTTGGAGCAGTTGTGGTGAATCCAAGATTGGCTCAACATTTTAATTTGTTGACATTCAGCAGACCTAAAATGAATCCTGGATTTGGACTGAGAAAACTTGGAGTTGAGTCACAGTGTTTGTTAATGGGTTCTTTCCATTTCTGTAGCAGTAGTGGTAGTACTAGTCATAGGAACTAAATGTCTGTGAAACAGTATGAATTGTTGGGGATCTCCTTATCAGGGTAGATGACTATGAAGCTGTTCGTGCTTAAAATACCATCCTCTACTTTTGACAGTCATATTTGTGTAACCTGCAACACCTGACCTACTATTAGGATTTGTTCATCTTGTCAATGTTGCTTTTACCATTTTTCTCCCCTAGAACAACAACAATCTTGAAGCCTGTTGCCGAGCCCTTTCCCAGGAGAGTAGCAAATACTTATATATGGAATACCATAGTCCAGATGACAACAGGATGAACAGAAATCGCCTTTTGCATATTAATCTGGGTATCCATTCTCCTAGTAGCTACCACCCAGGAGATGGAGCACAACTTAATGGTGGTCGAACACTGGTACATAGCTCAAGTGATGGACATATTGATCCACAGCATGCAGCAAGTAAACAGCTGATATGTTTAGTTCAGGAACCACACTCAGCTCCAGCTGTTGTGGCTGCTACTCCGAACTACAATCCATTTTTTATGAATGAACAGAATAGAAGTGCAGCTACTCCTCCTTCACAGCCACCTCAACAGCCATCTTCCCTGCAAACAGGAATGACTCCATCTGCTATGCAAGGGCCTTCAGCACCGCCGCCACCACCTCCTTCATACATGCACATACCTCGGTATAGTACAAATCCGATTACTGTTACAGTATCCCAAAACCTCCCTTCTGGACAGACTGTACCAAGAGCTTTACAAATTCTTCCACAAATTCCAAGCAATCTCTATGGGTCTCCTGGTTCTATTTATATTAGACAGACATCTCAGAGTTCATCAGGAAGACAAACTCCTCAGAGTACACCTTGGCAGTCCTCACCACAGGGCCCAGTGCCTCATTATAGCCAACGTCCTTTACCTGTTTATCCACATCAACAGAACTATCAACCTTCTCAGTATTCTCCTAAACAGCAGCAGATTCCTCAACCTGCTTACCATTCACCACCCCCTTCTCAGTGTCCTTCACCCTTCAGCTCTCCACAGCATCAAGTGCAACCTTCCCAGTTGGCCCACCCAAGTTCCCACGTCTTTATGCCACCCAGTCCTTCAACTACTCCACCCCATCCATATCAACAAGGACCTCCTAGCTATCAGAAACAGGGAAGCCATTCAGTAGCCTATCTCCCATATACAACATCTAGCTTACCCAAAGGATCCATGAAGAAGATAGAAATTACAGTTGAACCCTCTCAAAGACCTGGGACAGCAATTAATAGGAGTCCTTCACCTATCAGTAATCAGCCGTCTCCACGAAATCAGCACTCACTGTACACAGCCACCACACCACCTTCAAGTTCTCCTTCAAGAGGAATATCCAGTCAACCAAAACCTCCATTTAGTGTTAATCCTGTGTATATTACATATACACAGCCAACTGGACCTTCATGTGCTCCATCACCATCTCCTCGAGTGATACCAAACCCAACTACCGTTTTTAAAATCACTGTAGGTCGAGCAACGACTGAAAATCTTTTAAATTTAGTGGACCAAGAAGAACGCTCTGCAGCCCCAGAACCTATTCAGCCTATTTCAGTGGTACCAGGCTCTGGGGGAGAAAAGGGAAGCCATAAATACCAGAGGAGTTCTAGTTCTGGATCAGATGACTATGCCTATACGCAAGGTAATTTTAGCCTTTTTATGAAATTTAATCTTTGTGGTGAGGTGGCAGTCTGTTCAAAATAAATTTATATTAGCTGCTTGGTTTAAATGATTAGTATTTATTAAATATTGGGCAGTAGCATTGCTATCAAGGATAGGGTTAGGAAAATAAGGTTAGTGCTTCAGAGTTCTCCATAGGCTTTGCTTTAAAATATGAAAATATAGGCAGGATAATAGTGACCCTAATAGGGGTCATTCATTAGGGGGAACATTCATTAGGATAAAAACATAGGTGAAATTGATATTGTCAAAAAACAAACTACAGAGTGGGAAAAGGACATTCATTCACAGATGGTAGGCCAAAGTTCATCAAGGTTAAAGAATTGTAATCTTTTCTAAAGAGATTGGCCTGGAGGGTGTAATATTTATAAGTGGTATATAGTTATAAGTGGGATTGGTGATTAAGACTAATGTTGGATTAGTTAATGATGGACCTAACTAAAAGGAGGACAGAATTTTTTAAAAGTCTATTCAGATTTCAAAGTATTTGAGATTTTAATATTCTTTCAGTATATAAGAAGAATAGTTAATTATGATTGTAATTTGGTATGCCTAGTATTGAGCCTGTTTAAAACCCACACAGGTATAGTTAAAAAGACAGTCTTAGGGGAAATGAAGGATGTACAGATGGTATTATTTTGGCAGCAGTTACAAGAGCCAAATTAAAAACAGCCTTAGCAAGACACAAGAGTAAATGCCAACTCAAATTGGAGGACAGGGTTTCTTTTGAGTATTTTGTGCATTAGCAATGCATATAGAAATTTCCCAGTCACTTCACTGTTACCTTCTGCAATGACTTTGTCTGTAACACTATAGCCTTGCTGTTACATCAGCGAGCAAGGATGGAGAGGTTAGCAAAGCAGTTGAAACTTGAGAAAGAGGAGCTAGAGCGGTTGAAGGCTGAAGTTAACGGTATGGAGCATGACCTGATGCAGAGACGGCTCAGAAGGGTCAGCTGCACCACTGCAATCCCCACGGTAAGTCCTCTGTTGTCCTGTGTGGACAGGAGGGTGGAGATGATGGCTGTCCAGGTCATGTGTTTTCCTTTTAGGTTCTGTTTCTGGTAGGGTGATTTCGTTTTTTAAACAACGGATGAGAGACTTTGATCTTCAGTAGTTCTCATAAGAATAATTCGATGCTTTTATTTCTTCTCACATGTACGAATTCCATAGGTTTACCAGTATTTTCAAATAACTGGTAGTTATAATGAAGGTATGGCATCTCATTTACTATGAATTGCTTTCTGTGAGAATAGAAAAGTGCACCCTGCCCAAACATCTTTTATAAATTTCTCTCACGTTTTTTCTTTTAAGCATATAATACACATATAAATTCCAAAGATTTAAGTTATTTTCTTAAGTATATTGATTCATATTGATATTGTTCTAACTCATTTGAATCTGGGAAAGTGTGCACTATAAAGTATTTTAAGGCACAGCAATTTTGTTAAGTATAAATAATTGTAGAAACTAAGGTAACAGTATTGATAGTGGTCCTCATAGAAACTGCCCTAATGAAAAGATGTGGATGATATATTCTTAACACGTTAAGTACTACTGATGCGTGCTAAAAAAGTTTAACAATTCAGAATGTTTTGAGACCATTCTCCTAAAACCTTGTGACAGTACAAGCTTCCTGTGATCTGACCTATCACTTCATCTTTCAACATTCATTGGTGCAACAGGCATTGTTTAGTTTATGAATGTGGTCCTGTGCTAGGTGCTTAGTGCATACCTGCTAGTGAGAGAAATAGACTTCTCAACAGATAATTATAATTCAGGGTGCTAAGTGCTATTAATGCTCATGAGTAATGAAAGAACTCATACGTCAACTAGTCTTTGTATGTACTCAGTGCACTTCTGCTGGGATGCCCTTCTGCAGCTCTACATGGGTAAGTCCTGTGTATTCTTCAGGGCTTCACCTTAATCTTTACTTTGTCCATGGAGCTATTCCTTATTTTCCTGACCCCTCTAAACTGAAGGTGATTTCTCAGCGTTTATAGATTTAGAGAAGTGACCATGTATGTCAGGCCCCTTAAAGGCAGTCTGTCTGCAGCTCTGCCTTCATAGATAATTTTTTAAGGGAGGGTTGTGGCTTCAAAGGAAATCTGTGAACTCCTGAAATTATGTGCAGTTTCATGTGTTTTTATATGGAAGCAGATCTATAGTTTTCATCTGATTTTCATCAGGTTGATAGAATGAAGGGGAAGAATGTGAAGACCCACTGCTCTAAACAGTATAGTGTTGCTGTATAGGCAGAGGGGAAAAGGGAGGACATTTTAGAAGGGCAAAGGGGAAAGAACATTGAGGGAACAAAGGCATGAAGTTAGGATGGAGACAGACTCTCAGGAGGCAGCAACTACAGGTTTCACATTTCAGCTGAGATTCCTGGTGTCTTAACAGGTTAATGTGCATCTGTCAATTGGAGCTTAGACCTTAAGGGTGAAGTATTTGAACTTTACTCTGCTGATAGTGGGGAACCAGTGGAATTTTTCAAAAGGAAATTATTGATAAACAGACATATAATAATTTAATGAAATTTTTTTCTAATATTGACTAAATTCCTAAGTATAGCCTATATTAGAAGTAAGAAGGGAGGGTTTTACTTAAAACATTTAGGAATGTATTGCCTTTCAGTTAAAGATAGCTTTATAATTTTCTCTTTGTTTTCTCCAGTTGAAATCTTATTAATTCTCTGATGGGGGAAGTATTGAAGAACATAACCCACATAGGAATCTACCCTGGTGGTTGGGCAGTTTGGAGTCTTTTAGGTACTTATGGAGCAGAAACAGATTTTCTTAGCATAAAAGTCATTTCCCCTAACCTAACCATCTAAGTTTTGTTTAGTAACCTCTTGCTGTGTGATAATTCCCGCTAAAATAGGCCCTTTTGATTTTTGTGGTGTTGGAAAGTAGAGAACTGTTAAATGTAACATAAGTTAGTGCTTCAAAAACATCTAGATTTTAAAGGAGTGCTTTTATTGATGAGAGTTACTTTTAAAAAGAAACAAAATAAGCAGAAGAGTATAAGGAACCTGCTATGTAGCCATCTGCCAGCTTCAGAAATTGGTAGCGCATATGGGTGACAATATTTGAGAGATGAGAAATATAAGTGTTTGATTCCTTTGTGTTTCTGCCTAGAGTAAAATGAAGAATTATTAGCAATGTGTGGCTGAGGGACAATTATACATGGAGAATCAGTGCCTCTCTATTCGGGCGTGAATTTGAATCGTCCTTTTGCTACTTACCTGTTACTCATATATTCTTGGAGAAGTAACTTTCTCTGCTTGTTTTCTTACCTGTAAAATTTGTGAGTACTCATCTTGTGGGATTAAATAAGATAATATCCATAAACAACTTATGCAATCCTCACCAAATAGTAATGTTGGTTGGACAACACTGGTAAAACCTGCTCAATACAAACACCCCTGAACCATCTTGCAAAATTTCGATTTAACTTTAGGAACATGTATAACATATGGGTATATTATGTAGGAAATTAATCAAGAAGTAAAACATTTTGTCAGAATTCCCTTTTGTTGATAAAGGCTCATTCGAGGCACCATGACATCTTTTTAAAGAACGCCTACATAGGGGTTACCTGGGTGGTTCAGTCGATTAAGTAGCCAACTCTTGATTTCAGCTCAGATCATGATCTCAGGGTCATGGGATCAAGCCCCACATTGGGCTCCATGCTCAGTGGGGAGTCTGATGGAGATTATTGCTCTCCATCTCCTGTCCCTCTCCCTCACTTGCTCTGTCTCTAAAATAAATAAATATTTTTTTAAAAAAAGTGCTCACATAGGCTCTGGAGGCAGAATAGTTGTGGCAATCACTGGCTGTGCCTAATTTATCTGCATTTGATTTTCTCTATAAAAGGGAATTATAATAAGTATATTTTAATACTGTTGTCAAGATAAAGACAGTGTAAGTCAAGTGCCTGGTGTGGAGTTAGGTGCTCAGTAAAATGGCTGTCTTTATCTTTGTCCCAATCACATGTAGGATTACACGATAGAGAATGGGTTTTTTTCCCTTGCTATTAAGCACATATTTCTACCTTCAAGTTTTCAAATTTCTTATCAGGCAGTGTATTAAAAAATGTGTGCACCTCGTGAGACTGAAATGTGCATTTGTTAGCAACTGTATAAGCTTAGAGCAACAGCTAATCTAGGGAGGGCAGAAGTGCAAGATGGCCATAATCTGCTGTTCACAAAGCACTGTGTTAAGTGCTGTCGAAGAGGTCATCTTATAAAGAGATCTGTATGTGAAAGGATAGGTGGTGTGTCTATGAACCTATCTGTATTTGTGAGAGAAAAAAAATCAGGTAAATTGATATTCAATTAGAAGTGTTGGCCAGCTAAATGGTAAGGATATTAAGTACTTTCAGAGTTTTGAGATAGAAATGTTAGTTTTTTGCTTATAGGGTTCAAAGATGAGACAGTTTCATACTGGAGGGGAAATTTGTGTTATACCTTAAAAGATAAATACGGTTGGATGAAGCCGTGGATTACCCCCTCAGCCAAGTTTTTCCTGTCATTTGTCTTGTTCTAATTGGGTTTTTGGACTACCCTGCATTTTTTAGTCTCAGGTGCATAATTAGGGCCAAGCAGTGATAGTAGTATTCGACCTGGGTCTCTGTGATACAACTTCTTTAAGTTCTCAATTGCGTTAGGTTGTTTTGCCACCTTTTGGAAAAAAGCTTAGAATTTTTCACTTTTGAAATGTCAGATCTTTTACAAACAACTCTAAATTATACACAGCCAATCTTGAAAACCCTCTTCTCTGAAAATACAGTGTACTTTTTGGCAAATGGTACTGACTTTTCAGAATTTTTTTTTACCTTGGTAAAATTAAATTACCAGAAACTCTGAAAAAGGACATAATTGATCTTACAGGTAAACTAATCCTTTGGTGAATTCCAGTGGTTCTACTGTCTTTGGAAATGATCTTGTTGCCTAGATCTGTTATAAGCAAATGTGCTGTAGTTCCTAGACTATAAAGTGTATTATAGTACTTCCATACTTCTAGAGAACATCATTATTTAGGACCATTGTGGCTAAACTCCACACTCCCTCCCCCAAACATAGGAAGAATCAACTCCTTTAGGGACTTTCCCATTATGATTCTACAAAGAATGGGTTCTTTTACATATTCCTTGGAAGGCAACACCGATCTTTGAAACCCCTGGACAAGTGCTTTATTTTTAATATAAATGCTCAGATATATTTTAAACCTTTTTAATAGTGCCTGGTAGGCAAGGTGTAAGCATTTTACATGGTAGTGTCCCATATTTTTGCAAATAGGAAAAAGGAGAGCAATCCCTAATAAATATTTCTTTTTTTTTTTTAAGATTTTATTTATTTATTCATGAGAGACACAGACAGAGAGGCAGAGGACAGGCAGAGGGAGAAGCAGGCCCCATGCAGGGAACCCGATGTGGGACTTGATCCTGGACTCCAGGATCACGCCCTGGGCCGAAGGTGGCACCAAACCGCTGAGCCACCCAGGGATCCCCCTAATAAATATTTCTAAATGACTTTTGTGTTCCCATAGCATTCTAAAGGATTGTAGCTCTTACTATAATTTTGTTTTATATTTGCTTAACGTAAGGGGCAGTCTCAGTTATTCTAATAACATGTCCTAACAGTGTAAGAGTTTGCATTATTATGAATTAAGAACCTTTTGGCTCCTTTTTCTTTGCTCTTAAAATTAACATAATATGTAGAAAAATACAGATTTTTAACAGAATTGTATTTTGTCATAGCAGATATTTATCTTTATATGGTTGAAAGCACATTAGTAACTGAGTTAATATCAGGGCTGTGCTGAAAGCTTTAGTACCCATGCCTTTGGAATTCAACTCTAACTTTTTGAGTGTGTGTGTGTGTGTGTGTGTATAAAAATAATAAATCTAGAAGGTCCGGGGAAGTCAAGGCTTCCAAAAAACTTTAACTGAAGAATTAGGGCATTCTTTACGTTTCAGTGTCTCCTGTATGCGCCTAAAAGGCCTAAAGGATAGGTAGGCTGGGCTCAAAGTCAAGAAAGAAGGAAACAAAGTTGGAGGAAGAATGGAATTGTTGTGTAATAGATTGTTTCCTTTGCTCTAAATTCTGGTTCTGCTAATTACTGTTTTCTAACCTTGGGAAAGTTATATGAATTCTGGGTACATCAGCTTCCTCATGTATAAATTGGCAATGATATTAGTACTTGCTTTGAAAGATGGTTTAGAGGAAAGAGTAAGAGACCTCTGGTGAATACAGTGCTTGACACTTAGTACTGTTGTAATTTTTTTCAAGCCTTGGACAACACTAAAATCATGGACATTGCCTGTTTTATAGGTTGATTTTCATGGTTTCCCTTATCATGAAAATATCTTTAGTACTGATTAAAATGGTATTTTGTATGATAGAACATAGTCTAGTACTGTAGTTTGCCACGTTTTATGCAGATTTTGTCTTCATGTGGCCATATTGATGTCCCCATTTTACCTGACTGTTCCTTTAAATGTTTAATATTTCTTAAACATACCCTCTTATGGACTAAGGCCATATTGTTGGTAATAACCAATCAGAACGATTAACATGAATAGCAGTTCTTAAATGTTGGGCTTGATAATGACTTTCCCACAATTGCTATTTTGGGTCCTTTCTTACTAGCCTGAGGAAATGACAAGATTGAGAAGCATGAACAGACAACTCCAGATAAATGTTGACTGTACACTGAAAGAAGTTGACCTCCTTCAATCTAGAGGTATAGACTCGATTATTTGGTAAACCATAAGTAATAGTGTGGTGTTTTAAGCTGCTTAAGTAGCAATCATTTTGCTTTTATAGATTTAAGAGATAGTTTTTTATCCATTATAATCTTACTTAAAGAGATCCCTCCCACCCCATGGTCATAGATTTGGGGGATCAAAAATTAAGTTCTTACCATTTAGACTGCTCCGTGTTGTTACTCTGCATTTATCCTGTTCTGTTTACTGTGAATATTTTATATTGATGGGTCTTAATTATAAAACTTACATTGATGTTGTGATAATCATCAAAAGTATCTGTAAAAACAGGGAATCACATATCAGAATACCAGATTTCTCACTTTTAAAATAAATTCCATGTCATTTTTATGTATCTATTATATGAAAACATCCACCTACATCTTAGACTTTTCAGATTATCGGGTTTTTTGGTTTTTGTTTTTGGGTTTTGGCTTTCTTATATAATTGTATTATGGTAGAAGCTCTCTTAACTTTCATTTTACCAAGCTCATAGTTGGAGATGTTCTTTATTTCCCCTGTAAAATATTGTGACCCTGTCCGCAACTGTTGCACACTTGTGACTAGGAGGGGGCCCACATGCTGGCATGTTTATGTACTATTGCTCCTAGCAATTGCATTGTCTGCTCAGAGAGAGTTAATTGTACCTGTTCCCTAACCTGTATATGCCAGTTACTGTCCTGTAATTTGATGTTTTTTAAGCTGACAAGAATGCAGGAAGGAGCTGTTCTTCCTACCAAAACAAAAAACCAAAGGCAAATCACTCAAAAGAAAAAAAAAGGTGGTGGGGTTCAGGGATGGTCTGTGATTTAGATACGGGTGAAAACTAAAAATTTAAAAGGATTCTGTCCACCTAGTTTTTTTCAAATAGTCCCCCCCCATTTGTTTACATATTGTCTGGGGCCACTTTTATGCTTCACTGGCACAATTGAGGGCTTGCAACAGACTATTTCAGGCCCACAAAGTGTAAACTGTTTATTTTCTGGACCTTTACATAAGAAAAAGTTTGGGTGGAGGGGAGTTTGCCCTCTCCCCCTGTAGGTCATCACAGGTGTAGTTTATGTAAGAAAGACAGTATAAAACTTCAGTGAACACACATTTAAAAAAAAAAGTCTTGGTCCAACATTGAAGTTGACAAGTAATTTTTCCCAAAGGTCTTTCAGTCAGCCTCTCCCATTACTAACACTGTTCTTGATGATGGCAGCTAAGAGAGCTTCTCCTCTATTTTCAGAGTATATAATAAATCTTGACTAAAAATGGCAATGGGGTAACTTTAACAGTAGAAACGGGAGAACCTAAAAGATATGCATGCAACAATAGAAGCAAATTTGAATGTGAAAGTTGAGCAGTCTGGTCACGTACTCTTCACTTTTTCAGAATGGAGTCCCTCTAGAGTCTGCTAGATTTAAGCCATGGAACACCTGCTCTACATAGTATGGAGGTCATAACAAATTATTGTTCATATATTAGAAGACTGCATCAGGTTTTGCCAGGGTGTTCTTTAAAGCAAAAGACACACTTAAAACATTTGGTTAGGGTATTTATAGTAATCCTTCAGAGATCCAGAAATTAAAACATCAGCCGTAACTTCAGTAATTGAAGAAATACATATGCAGCATCTTATAGCATTGTGGCTTTGATTATCTTCCAAATGGATAAAAGCATTTGTAATAGGACCTGCAAGGGAAACCACTATTAAAGTTCTATAAGCAAAGAGCTGTGTTTTTGGTCTCCATTGGGCAACAAAGAGCTCTTTTTGGTGCTTAAGGATTTCTAAATCTTTCATAAGGGGTCCAGATATATCCATTTTATACTGAATTCTACTCTTCCACACTCAAACAATTTTTATACTGAATTCCAATGTAAACTCGGATCTAGCTGCAGATCATCATTTGATTTGTTGGAAAGTACAGCTGTATTGTTGGTTTTGAAGAGGAAAACTGGGCGGGGGGTGGGCGTGGGGGAATAACATATAGAAATCAAGACATCCAGTATTTTTGAACTATTAGTACCCGAGATAGCATTCTCGGTAAGCATGAGTAGTCCCAATGTTTAATTGGAATTAATGCAGAACAAGCAGCTTACAGTGATAGGGTCACAGAAGTTAAGGTAGATAGTGAGGCTGACACTGTATCAGAACCCACCTTGTAGGAGTCATGGCGGCAGTTGGGACTGAAATTGACACTAAGCCAGGGGGTGAACTTTTTAAGAGATGAAAATTTTGTGGCAAGACAAAATTCTCAGAGATCATTTTTTTATTCTGAAATTGGCACCTTATCTTTGTTAAATCTGTAGGCAACATTCCATATTCTCCTTTTCGTGAAGATAGGAATCTGAGTTGCTGCTCTTATAACGTGATTCATCCTTGTAAATTTATACGTTTTACTTCTTCCACCGTTGGATTTATAGTGGCTAACTTTTTAAGGTCAATTATGCAGGACATGAAAGAAATCTTAGCAAATAGTCAAGCCATCCTTTAATTTCTCTTCTTCATTTATCTCCCTAAGTGTACCACATACATAATCCTGCTGAAGGAGAGACTAGCTTTGCAGTTGGAAAACTATTCCTTCAAGTGATACAAACTAACACTAATGTGGTAGTTTGCTTGCGTCTTTTCTCATGATGATAAAACATTTTCAGTGGGAAGGTGGTAGAATAGGAGTTTTGAAACCCTGCAGACAGTTTCCTTTCTTACATATTTTATTTCTATATGTTCTTTAACAAAAAAAGTCAAATAGGAGAAAGAGCCTTAAATGCATGGTGATTTTTTCTTTATAGGAAACTTTGATCCAAAAGCCATGAATAATTTTTATGACAACATAGAACCTGGCCCAGTTGTACCACCCAAGCCATCTAAAAAAGGTGAGTAGGGAAATGACATAAACATCATAGAAATAAATGAGAATTCTTGGAGAGGTCACCTCTTTAGCTGGAGAAATTTCCATGAGATTAACTTGTTCAGCATAAAAACATTTAACCATATTGATATTACTGTGCCACATGTCCCCCATACTTTAAAAAGCACTAAAATTAGTAACTTCTGGAATTATTATCAAAGTCAATTAAATGAGATACAATTTAATTTTTAATTTATTTATTCATGAGAGACACAGGTAGAGGGAGAAGCAGGCTCCACGCAGGGAGCCCGACGTGGGACTCGTTCCAGGGTCTCCAGGATCAGACAGACCCTGGGCCGGAGGCGGCGCTAAACCACTGAGCCACCTGGGCTGCCCACGACTTAATTTTTTGAATAAGAACTTAAATTTATAATGTTGGCTATGCAACATATTCTTTAAGGTCTTTAAAATGTTTGATCTGCAGTAGATCTGAGACTGTTAAATTAGGTCATGGAAGAATCCTTGTGTGCCCAACAGGTGAACATCATAATTAGATAGGGACTACGTTTTTTTTTTTTTTTTTCATGAAAGTCAAAATAAATCCTTTGTAACCAAGATTTGGAGGAATCATTTTTGTATCTCTTCTTTGTTTTATGTACTAGTGTTTAATTGGCATTTCAGTGTCTTAAAAATTAATTTGAATTATTGAAGGCTCTTGTTCTTTTCAGGACTGAGCTGAAGTATGTTCATATCTTAATCTATTTTGCTTTAAGCAGCTTAAGGGTGAAACATACTAAAATCTTGTCAGAGTTACTATTCATCAGGTAATGTGTAAATTTTAGCACCTGAATTTTAGTTGATTAGTTTCCTACCTATTTTAAGGTCAGTACAGTATTTTATTTTTTAAAGATTTTATTTATTCATGAGAGACAGAGAGACAGAGGCAGGCTCCATACAGGGAGCCCGACGTGGGACTCAATCCGGGGTCTCTAGGATCACACCGTGGGCCTAAGGCAGGTGCTCAACCACTGAGCCACCCCGGCTGCCCCAGTACAGTGTTTTAAAGTATTTGAGTGACAGGTTGCAGTGCAGTATTACTACTACCATAGATGTTTCATCTGATTTGGCACTATGGCAACATTATATACAGTTTCTTTTTTTTTTTTTATATGCAGTTTCAAGCTGAAAATCACTGAATTACATATATTACTGATCACTTTAACCATTTGGGTTAACAACAACACGAATCTTTTTTTTTTTTTTAAAGATTTTATTTATTCATTCATGAGAGAGGCAGAGACGGGCTCCATGCAGGGAGCCCAATGCGAGACTCCATCCTGGGTCCCCAGGATCATGCCCTGGGCCAAAGGTGGCGCTAAACCACTGAGCCACCCAGGCTGCCCCAACACATGAGTCTTTGAACTTGATGTTGCCTGAGTGTCTTCCAAAGAAACATTATCTGTTAATACTCAACAGATAATTGATTCAAGGGCTGTTATAAAAGAATCAACCCTATTTAAGACCATATGTTGAAGAGTTGTTAACCTGGAAATAGAGGATAAAGTTGATGAGCTGAGCCATCTTATTAGCATATAACTCTGAGGTAAGGTCACAAGGACTCACCGGAAATAACAAAGACACTCCTATCATTGGGAAATTTCAAGATTTTAGTGGTTATCTCCCAGGAACTAGGGATTAAAGCTAGACCTGTCTTTTAGGCAAGGTTAAATTATTTACTTACACATAGTTTACACATAGCAGTGGTTATGAAGAAATTTGCAAAACACAAGACCTAAAGATTAATAATCAGTGACCTAGGGATCCCTGGGTGGCGCAGTGGTTTGGCGCCTGCCTTTGGCCCAGGGCGCGATCCTGGAGACCCGGGATCAAGTCCCACGTCGGGCTCCCGGTGCATGGAGCCTGCTTCGCCCTCTGCCTGTGTCTCTGCCTCTCTCTCTCACTGTGTGCCTATCATAAATAAATAAAAATTAAAAAAAAATTAAAAAAAAATCAGTGACCTAAAATTCTACCTTAAGCTAGGAAGGAACAAAGTCAAGGAGATTAAAAGATAAGTAAAACTTAAGAGTTTGATTTTATCTAGAAAGAACACAGATTATCAAAATCAGAAATGAAAGATGGGTTATCCATTAAAATAATAAGAGAATGTGATGAACATTATGAACTCAGCACTATATTTGAAATGGACACATCTACTCAAACTGAAAACAACAGGATATAGGACCTAATAATAGCTATGTGTCTTTTAAAGACATTGAATCCATTGTGTTGTATCTTTTAAAGACATTGAATCCATTATGTTAACATTTTTCCCCACAAACTCCCGTTTTTGTTTTTGTTTTTTTGTCTTATGGAGTCAGCAGAACCCCCAAAAGAAAATTACAGAGCAGATCAATACAACTCCTGCACTTAAAGCAAAAAAATCCTTAATATGTGAATATTATCATGACTAGGTTTATTTTAGCTTAGGAAAAGGAGAAAAAGCTCATGATCATTTTACTAGATGTAGGGAAAGTCTGTGGCCATTCCAACATTATTTGCAAAGAAACCCTTAACGATACTAAAAAACAACTATTAGAACTAATAAGTGAATTTAACAAGATCTTGGGATGGAAGGTCAGTATATAAGAACCATTTTTTTTTTATAAAAAACCAGTTTTGATCCTTACCTCTTACTGTACACAAAATCTGAGCTAGGTCATACGCATTTAAATATCCTTGCAACTTGAGTTTAGCTTAGAATTTTTAGAACACAGAACACTTGGTACATTAGCCTTCATTAAAATTCAACACTTTAAGAAAGTGAAAAGGCAAGCCAGGGGCTGGGAGAAAATATTTTAAAACATATCTGGTTCATGGAAATCCAGTGCAATAAAGTCATTTAAAAAGTAAAAAAAAATCTGGTTAAAAAAAAATTCTGCTATCTAAAATATATAAGGACCTTCTATAACATAGTGATAAAATGACAATCCAATTTAAAAAAGGTCAAAACATTTGAGTTGACACTTCACAAAGAAATACATATAAATGGCCAATAAGCACACATGGAAGTGTGTTCAACTTGAGTAGACATTAAGAAAATGTAAATTAAAATCCTGAGATTCCTGAGGAGCAATGATAACGAAACATTAATGAGGATGTAGAGCACTCAGATTCTTAAAAGTTTAAGATGCTGTGACCATTTCTTATATAACCAAACATTCATTCACCTGCCCTGTAGCCCATCAAATCTTAAGATTTAGCCAACAGAATTTAAAGCCTATGTCCACAAAATGGTTTGTATTGGAACACACCAAGAAGCCATCAACAGATGAACCGATATTTTCAAATCATGGAATGTTACTCTGCAACACAAATCAACTATTAAACACAACATGGATGAACCTCAATGCTAAAAGAAATAAAATACAAAAGAATGCATACTGTATGTTTATATGCATTTCAAAACTAAATTTCTTAAAAAAAACAGAACAGTTGTTTGGTATGTCTTGGAGTAGAGGTTGGGGATTAACTTGGGAAAGGGCATGGGCATGGGAGGATTTTATGAGCTAATAATGTCTGGATAGGGATTTGGATTATTCAGGTGTATAACTCCTCAAATGGCACACATATGGTTTGTGTATTTCATTGTATAAGTTTTACTTTGAAAACTCACAAATAAAAGCCAGGAGCCTGTAGACAAAGTGTTTTAGCAGTGGTGATATTGGCATGATTGACAGGTCATTCTGCCTGCTGTCTTTGAGACCAATACCTATGTGTATTTGGCTCAGCTAGGAATGGTGTGTTATTAGGATGCTGTTAAAGCTTCATCGGGCTCTCTACAAGTACCTTTATACTAAAAAAGCTCTATTCTGTGGGACTTTGAATTTAAACAAATTTTGCTAAAGCTGATAATTGGATAGTCCCTCAGAGTTAGCTATAATTAAATTCCGGTTGCAATCGACTTCTAAATTATGTATCAATTGCTCAGTATGTAGATGCTTGATGCTACAAAGGTAAGACATGACTCCTACCCCAAGCAGCTCATCTTCTACCTATACAGTTTTAATATAGAGACTAGAGAACTAACATCTTCACTGTAAATGAATTTCTACTATGCAAATCCAATTGAGCTTTCATTACATATCTTGTTGGTGAAGAGAATAAATCATGTACTCCTTTAGAATTTTTAAACCTTTCACCTCTTAAAATTTGTGAATAGAACTTAATTCTATAATTCCTTGGGAAGCCCTTTCATTACATTTCTAAAAGCTATTTGATTTTCTCTATGAAGTCAAATTTGTTCTAAGAATTTTTTAACTAAATTGGCCTCTTCTAAAAAAGTTTATGTAGTTTAACTGATACTGCAAGAAAATCTACATTAGAGTTATTACAGACATAAAAGAAAAAGGAAAAAGAGGGAGACCCAAGAAACTTTCTTGGACTAAACTCTGCATGCCATGTGCATGTAAGTGCTTCAGCTGAGTTGGCAAGTCCTCCCCCAGCTGTCATTGGTAACAAAGCAGGGAGAGCATCGACCTTGGTATCCCACTACTGGAGTGTGGGTCTCGGTTGTTTTGGCCACCTGACCTTGTTCAGCACATCTAGTCTGTGCACCAGGAAGGTGATAAGTCCAAATACTTGATTGTTTCTGTTCAACAGGGCTGTTGTAAGGATCTGTGAGAGTAAGTATGTGACACTATAAAAGTGCTTTACAAATTTAAGAAATAGAACTTTTACACTGTTCTTTGGAGCCTAAGGAGACCATTTACTCTGCTTTTGTTTACTCTGATACTGGAGTGTTTAAGTACCTAGGCACCACACTTAGAATTCTGGAGCAATGATTTCCAAAGGTGGATTGTACTCTAGGGGGTTGCATATATGGGCTCAGAACTAATCAGAAAATACAAGATTTTTTTTGGGGGGGGGTGGGGAAGGGTTCTTAACGGCAGATGTACCAAATCTTAATACAAAGAAAGAACTACCTAATAACATAAATTAATAGAAATAAAATTCTAGCAAGAAATTGGGATGCCTGTGGTCCCTACTATTTTTTAGTTCTGATTTTTCAATTACTGCTACTCTTACTCTTTAAGTACTACAGTTTATTTTATTTTTTTTTAAAGACTTTGTTTATTCATTCATGAGAGACACAGAGAGGCAGGCAGAGACATAGGCAGAGGGAGAAACAGGCTCCATGCAGGGAGCCAGATGTGGGACTTATCCCGGAGCCGTGGGATCACGCCCTAAGCCGAAGGCAGATGCTCAACTGCTGAGCCACCCAGGTGTCCCAGTACTACCGTTTAATGTTATTATTGTAATGCATTCTTTGGCTAGCCTTATGGATCACATATTTTCAACCCATGACTTTCTAATAACTGTTGCTTAATAAGGCAATTGCTCAAGTATAATCTTCCAATTTTGCCTTTACATTGATATTTAATTACTGTGAGTTTGCACTAGGAAGGTGGGCTGGTGAAATTAGGCATTGATTCCAAGTAATTGTAGAGGATGGATAAAGTCATAAGAGCAATGTTCTATATAGGTTGTAAAAGCAATATTAAATACGGCACTTACCCTCACAGGAGAACTAAAGGTAACATGAAGTAATAGAAAGGGTAAACACGCAACCATGCATGTCCCATGAGAGATCCTTGGGAGCCTGTCCACTCTTCTCATGGATGGCTTTAATCCCTTTTCTCCTGGCTTTGCTTCTTTTCATGCAGATTCGTCAGACCCTTGCACAATTGAGAGGAAAGCCCGAAGAATTAGCGTGACCTCCAAAGTACAGGCAGACGTCCATGACACCCAGGCAGCAGCTGCTGAGGGTTTGTACTTGTGTGTCCGGATTTTGTGCACAAAGTCCAAAGACACGTGTTTGCCCATGTGGCGTTACCACAAGTAAAGGCCGACTCCTTCCCCCACCACCCCCCCTTAAAAGATTACTTTCTCCAAGTGCCTGGCTGGCTCAGTCAGTGGAACATGTGACTCTGAGTTTGAGCCCCACGTGGGAGGTAGAGATTACTTTTCTATTGGTTATTTTTAACGTAATCTCTATAAAAATAACCAATAGAAATATAATACAAACCAGATACATAAAATATTTAATCTAGTATATATGTGAAGTATTATTTCGATATGAAGTCATTATAAACTAGTGAGATATTTTACATTAGTTCATACTACATCTTTGAAATCTGGTGTACATTTTACACTTAAGAGCACATTTCAGTTCACACTAGTTCCATTTCAAGTGGCAGTAGTCACCATATTGGGCAGATGGCTCTAATAATAGCATCTAGAAAGTAAGGCTAAGTGATTAAATAACTTGAAAGTTCTGGACTTTATAACTTTTCACTGCAGTTTTCTAGTGTTTCTTGAATTTTACCTTGGGATTCAGTTGAAGTAAAGGTTCTAAAGATACCGTGTTTTTTAGTTTATGTAATATAAACAATATTGGTGAAATTATTGATGTCTGATATTAGGATGGTTAGTTTTAGGGAAATCTGGCCTACTAACCCATTTAAAAGTAGTCCTTTTTTAAGGTTTTCTTTTGTTTTTAAGGAATCTCTACATCCAAGCGGGGCTCAAACTCATGACCCCAAGATCAAAAGTCACATGTTCTTCTGACCGAGCCACCCAGGCTCCTTAAAAATAGGTTTTATTCATCAGAGAGAGGCAGAGACATAGGCAGAGGGAGAAGCAGACTACATGTGAGGAGCCTGATATGCAGGACTCTGGATCATGACCTTAACTGAGCCACCCAGGTGTCCCAAAAATAGTCTTTTTTTTTTTTTTTTAGTCCATCTTTTCTAAAAGAGATTTTATTTATCCATTCATGAGAGAGACAGAGTGAGAAAGAGAGAGGCAGAAACACAGGCAGAGGGAGAAGCAGGTTCCGCGCAGGGAGCCTGACGTGGGACTTGATGCCAATGCCGGGTCCCAGGATCACACCCTGGGCGGAAGGTGGCACTAAACCGCTGAGCCACCCAGGCTGCCCCCAAAAATAGTCTTAAAGGAAAAACATACTGACTTCAGTTTTCATTTGTGTATAAATATGCATATTTTAAGGTTCTTTTTTTCTGTGAGGCCTGAAATACTGCTTTTAAATCAGTCCATAAAAAGACAAGATTTTACAACTGTAAATCAAATGAAAATGGACATCTAAAATGTCTTTCGAGTTTTAGATGCTTCTATTTAAACAGTACTTCTCTGTGATGAAATGAGCAGGGTCTTAAGCAACAATTCTATTAGGTGCCTTCAAAATTTTTTTTGATAAATTACTTCAGTGATTTTATTCCAGATGAAATCATTACGGTGCTGAAGGAGCAAATAAATATGCCTCTTTGGCATAAGGAATATTCTGAGAAACTGCAAAGGCAGGAGAAGCTCTGATAACAGAGTAGAAATTACCCTTTGTAAGGAACATCTACAATTATAAAAGGCAATCTCCTCCTAGCTGAGAGCCTTGTGACTAAAATGGATAAGGGAAGGGACTCAAATCTAAGTAACAAACCTTACTCGTATTTACTGTGCTGTCAGGTAACCTCCCCTAAGTTGTTTCCCCTGCCCCCCCAGCCAACATCCTTCTTTTGTCTGTAGCTGTAGAGGGTATTTTAGGTTGCGGTTTGGCCCCCTTTGGGGAGTTAATTTTCCTAGGCCTCTGCCCTATGTGAGATACATATGTTAGTGAACTTTGTTTCTTCTCTTGTTTATACTTTTATTACAGGGGGGTCTCAGGTAAGAACTATGAAGGATAGAGGGAAAATTTTTACTTTGCCTACAGTATTAGATAATGAAGAGGAGCCCCAAGTTTTCTGTATTAGGTTATAAGAGGTTGTGCAGTTACTTACAGAGTTTAAGAAATAAAGTAAAAACTCGCCTGCTCTAGGAAAGTATAAAAGTGAGTTTTTAGCACCTATTTAGGAGAACCTAAAGAGTATCGTATGAGAGAGAACCATTTCCACCTTTTCCAGAAATGGCATGCAGAATGTTTTTCCTCTAAGAGAAGGCTGTGTCAGTTAAATGTGCTTTTTATTCTTCCATACCGTACAAAAAACTATCAAGTCTCTGTGTTTTGGAGTCATGAGCTAAAAGATACATGGTAGGTGATAATGGTCACTCAGATCACCATTGAAGGCCAGAGAAACAAGCCCATTCCCCCCCCCCTTTTTATAGTTGGAGGAACAGGTTGACGAACCCAGTGGTTTTCTGTTGTGTTGTTAGCTTTACATCTCCTTCCTGTTTCAGCCTGAGCCTTACTGTCTGTATGCTGTCCTAAGTTTCGAGGTCTCAAACTCAGCTCTCTCTGCTTTTTGGGGAATGTTCACATCAGCCATCTGTCCTCATTTCCAGTTCACAGTGATGCTTCCCAGTTTTACACACAGATTTTCCCAGCCTCCTGGCCACGCTCCGGATTCCAGGGGCAATTCCATCTAACCATCTTGAGCCTCCAAATCACTGCTGCCAATTTCAGTAGGGACTGTTCCTAGGAGCAGGATTTACAAATTAACTCCCTTAAGCAGAGTCTTTTTGAGCTCAAGGTGAGAGGGACGAGGATCTAGGAGGAATCTAAATTTTAAGGATTTTTAAAGAAAATCCTAAGGATTGACCTAAGGATGCCAGCATTTTGTATTGCCAGATACAGACATTTTAAAAATCTGAAGGATCTCGTAACCCCAAAAAGGTGGGAAAGAATCTGAGAATAAAAATCTTTCATACTGAATGAGTTTAGCTTTTATGAAAAACCATAGAGTGTCTCTCTTTTTACCGTTCTGGGAACAGCTGTGTTAGGAACAGTCACTGTCATTTTGAACCATTATTATTAAAATAACACATGCATATTGTGAAGCTGCAGGGCTCCTGAAAGGAGGCAGAGGTTCCAGCAGGTGTTGAATACAGTACAGCTCATACTACAAGGGGGTGTGTTGGGGAGGGGGCTGAAGTTGTCAGGGAAAACACAGGAAGAAGGCAGAACTTCACTTGCAGTGTGACATTTCTCCTGTTCATTTGTCTAGAATATAGCATAACCACTACCTATGGATAATGAATAAGGTAATCTTTCCTGAACTTCTATTTATCTTAAAGTAGAATTTTTATCAAACTTCCTGTTGTAGTAGCTATGGACATTCATTGGACGTTAAGTCAAGTAGGAAGCTTTTTTTTTAATGTAATTTTCCAGTTTGGATTATAGTTGGAAGAATTCAATCTTTTTTTTCTCTCTTGATCCTGACTTCCCCCAGAGCATCTAACTGGCTCCAAACAGAGTCCCCGGACGCAACCCCGCGATGAAGACTATGAGGGGGCCCCATGGAATTGTGATAGCTGCACCTTCCTGAACCACCCCGCACTGAACCGTTGCGAGCAGTGCGAGATGCCACGGTACACTTGAACTTCGAAGAGTCTGCATCGACTTGAGAGCGAAACTGGGAGCACCCACAAGAAGAAAAGGAAGCCTTGGGAGTCTGTGCATCTGCCCAGCCTTTTCATTTCCAATTCCACCTGGGGAGGAGCAGTGCCCCTGGAGGGCTTGTGCTCATTCAAGAAAAATGGGGAGTTCTCTGTGTTTAGTGTTTTTGTTTTTTTCCTTTCTTAACTCATTGCAGAGTGAGATAGAAAGGGATACTTGAAACTGGGAAAGGATTCACTCCTGAAAGAATGTACACATAGAAGTCAAAAGCTCTTCTGTGGAATCCCAGTTAAAGTTACTGCTGAGTGGCCCTTACTTTATAAACTAGAACTTTAAATCATGGTGTGACATGTGACAGCTTATACAGACAAACTGTGAATTCCTAGAGCAGACTTACCTGGTCATAGCTCTCTGGAAAACCAAGGTTCCCCATGCTTCTTCCCGTTGTTTCCTACTGAAGGAGGACAGGAAAAAGCACCCAGAATAGGACCTTAATTTTTTTTTTTTTGGGGGGGGGGCAAAATAATAAGGGTCTTTGTAATTGCTGCTTTTTTCAGAGGTAATTTCAAACACACAATGGCTTAAAATGTGATTTGTAGCAGTCAGGAATTAGGCATATCATGCCCTTCATTCAAAAGTACAATCAGAGGTGATAAAATCATTTTTCTTGTACAATAATGCATCGAGCTAAATCAACACTGGTAACTAAGACCTAATTATGCCACATTAATAGATATAATTTTTAAGTTACTGCATGCTTTTATTAGGCCATTGGCTTTAAAAATAACAAGTCCTTACCAAGTACGATTTTATGAATGACCTTCTCGTAAAACTGCGCTTTGCCAATAGCACAGTGAATGTATGCCAAATGTAAATCCATTCCAAAATCCATTCGGAAATCTTGAGCTCAGCTGTGGTTCTGTAAGAAATGTTTGCAGTCCATAGGGGCCTTTTTTCACCTCCTTCCAGTTTTGTGATGAGTTCACGATGTTTACAGCACAGTGTTTTGTGCCAGAATCCTAACTTAGCTGAAAAAACAAAAACAAAACAAAAAAACCGACATTAGCTGTTCAATACAGATTGATTTGCACACGTTAATAAACCAGTATAAGGGAAATTACAGTTGGCCAATATCATAAAATAGTACACTGCGTTGTTACTTGGGAAGAAGAGAAGGCTAGTCAAGGGATAGGATTAAGAGAAAGGTGAATACAAAGGACTTTAAAACTAAGAACTGTTTAAATTTAACATACTGTATTCAGAGATAATTACTAAGTTTGTTCAGGTGATACTAAAGCACTCCCTGTTTATGAAACCCCAACTTTAGGGTATGAATAATGAAGAGATAGAAAGTCCTGTGACTCCTAAAGGTGTACCACTAGAAAATTATTAATAGGACATTTATTTAAGGTCTCTATCACTGTTGAATTTCCGTCCTAGCTCAGAATTGGATTTTGGAATCTTCCCATTACTTGGGTGAATATAAACAGCAGTAGAATCAAGGTTTCTGATCCTAACGGATTTTACCAGACGTTTTAATTTGAGGAATATCCACTCTCACATACCGTGTTCTCCCCCCCACCTCCCCCCGCCCACACTCACACACTCTTGAAGCTGTCATTGTATTATTCTACTTTAGAAGTGATATCTGGCAGACCTGGAAAAACAAGCTGCACTTAATAGTATAATGAAACCAAAGGCATAATAACTCATCATCATTTTCCATCAAAAGCATCTAATTTCACACTCGACCTACAGCTTTGAAAATGTTTTTTCCAATGTGGAAAATCCACGCCACACCCCACCCCCCCATCCACTTGTTTCACAAAAGTATGCGTGGCTATGTGATGACACTGATAAAACATCTCATATAACTGTGAAAATAATGGTAAGAAAACAGATGGGCTTAAAAGCATTGACCTGAAAACAGCCTTCTTTTAAAGGTTTCTGTGACACTGGTATGTCTCTCCAGTAGCCGTCTCTCAGTCCTGCTGTTGTGTAATACGCCAATGCCTTCGCCTTTGTATGGTTTCGTATCTCTCGTGATGATCAACCCCACTTGGTATTAAATAACAATTTAGGGGAAAAATATATATATACTGCTTGGTGTTCTAGCTAAAGGTTTACCAGTATTCTTAGATATGCTGAAATGGCAGCAGTTAACTTGGCACTTGTCAGTTGAGAATGAAAGTAGCATGTATGGAAACAGTTGGATGCTTTATTAAAAGCATGTAGATGACTTTACAACTATTGCATGAACATACATCCAGGTTAATAAGCTGTTAACATACAGTAGATGCATGGTTCCAGTCCATTGGTGATCTATCTAGTAACTCATTATTTTCACCTGCCAGGAAAAAGAAGAAACCAGTCTCTTTGATAGGTGTAGAGGGTGGAGTAGGAGACATCAGAGCTGGGTTTTAAAGAAGTTTCCTAGGTCTTCATTTCTGGTTGTACACGAGTTTCATATGCCAACATAGGCTGTATTCAGTTTTTAAAATAAGAAAAATTGTTTTTTACACTGACAAATTTGGTATGTTTAACTGTGTCCCCAATATAGACTTCTTGCCCATAACCACTTTGTATAAGAATACAGTCAACTTTCAAGGTGCCTTTTCAAAAGGATCTCCTGGTCAGATTGATGTGTGCGCACAGTTGGCATAGAAGCGGGAGGATAGAAATCGGGTGCTGCCTGTCTGCTGAGGTACTTATGCTCTTTGGGTCAGTTGGTGCACTTGGTGTTTTTAGTAAAAAGATTTTTTTTCTTAAAACATGACTAGTTTGATGTATCTGGTAACACATAGGCCTGACTATACATGTTACACTATTTCATGGTTTTGTAAACTGGGTTTTTAGAAAGCACATTTGCCGTTTTGTTAAAAGTACATTACCCCTTAACTTTTGGAGTGGGTCAGAAGAGTTTTAAAGTGGGAATAGAGCCAGCAGCTTTCTAAGCACTGTAAAATGTTTGGAATTGACAATGACCTTGTATGGGAGAGCAAAGAGGCAGGGGGTTTTAAAGAAACTAAAGAACTGCATTGTAGGAAAGGTAGTTTTAGAGAAAGGATGGTGGGGAAAGTGTTGCTAATTTGTTTATTTCCCTGAATGAAATGGAAAGTGTGATGAGCAGTTTAATTTTTTAAGGAGCTGGTCTCAATTTTAGTACTTTTTAATTATTAAAAGAAATTATCGTTTCCGTAAATTTTGTCATTGTTTTGTCCCAGTTATCTAGGGTTCATATCCAACTTTGTGGCAACTCAATTTTATATAGTATTTTAAAAGATAATTGTAATGTCTTTGACAGTATAAGCAAAAAGCAAAGGTATAAGGCATAGAAAAATTGTCCTTTGAAAATATCGGTGACATATCCTGGAATGTGAAGATGTTCCTTCATAGTTAAAATTGATTTTAATATTGTAACCACTGTTCAGACTTTGAATGAATCCATGTTACAGTTGTGTGTCTGTATATTGGTCGAGTAAGAAAAATGACCATTGAAATGTTACTATAAAAAAACAGAATAAATTCGGCACTGTCTGTTGCACCACTACTGTATCTTTTTGAAAGAATTAACAGTATTTTCGTATTGTAAAAGTTAAATCTGATCACATTTTCACATTCACTAGACCTGCATTTTTTTTCTTTACTATTTGCATCCCCAAGTATTTAATACAAGTAGATTTTGCATGGCTTGGGCATTCAGAGATTAATAGGATGACGATTCAATCTTAGTTTCTAAAGCCATGAAAAGTTGCTTTGAGACTGAACAATTCTGAGTTATTATTTATAATGACACCCAATGTCCATGTTTCCCTACTGTAAAAGAATTGATCAGTTTCTTCATTAAAACAGCAAGAACCTATTAAATCTTGTAAATACCATGTTTCTTTTAGATTTCTGTGTATGCTGTGAATCATTATTTTGAGGTGAAATTGTACAAAGGCATTTTAAAAGGCTATGCATGCATCGTACTTCCAAACAATACATATTCGGAAAGTCAAAGATTCCTGCAAAATAAATTAATAAACTAAAAGCAAACACTACATTCTGCATCTTTTCTGTGTAGTTAGAAATAATTTATAGTATCAAACTAGTCCCAGTTCCAACAGATAGATTTCTAGACTGAAATACGCTGCCTCAGAAACCTAGTCTTTCATCATTGGTATTTTTGTGCCCCTTGTAGAACATGTCATAATATGAAATTTGGGGTATTAAGGGTACATTAATTCTACAAAATGGGTAGAAGTATATATAAGGAAATTTTATGAAAATGGTGGAATGTGTTAAGAACTTAGATAATGAGTGATTTTCTTCATCTTTTTGTTTATAGCTTGAACAATATGGGCTTGAACTGCATAGGTCCACTTATGTGTGGATTTTTGCAGTACAGTACAGTACTACAAATAGGTTTTGTGCTCAGGATTTTCTTCATATTTCCTTTTCTCTAGCCTGCTTTATGGTAATAATATAGTATGTAATACATAGAACATACAAAATACACGATAAATGACTATGTTATCTGTAGCGTTTCCAGTCAACGTTAGACTTAAGTTTTGGGAACCCAAAAGTTACACGTGGATTTACACCTATGCAGGGCATCAGTGCCCCCCTAACCCCATGTTGTTCGAGGGTCACCTATCCTTCCAAGGCAAATTATCAGAGGACTTGACCCTCATCTTGCTAGAGTCTGTAGTCAGCGTTCCAAATTTGCACAGCAATCAGAACAGATTGACTTTTCAGCAAGTGAGCATATTTGAAGTCAAAAGAATTTCTACTTTTTTTTTAATATGTGAAAATTTATAAACCTACCTAAATACAGAAGAATTGTAGAATGATCCTTTGTTTGCTCATTACCAAACTTCCAAAATTATCCTTATAGAAGCAATTGTATTTCATGTACATTCTCATTCCCCCCACCCGGTTATTTTGAAACAAGACAGATCCTAGGCATCATAGCAATAAACTTTTTACCATAAGCACCATATATTCCTATCACAGCTTGTGAAATATTAGCAAATATCCAGGGTTACATTTTCCATGTAACTTTTTTTTTAACAAGCATGTCTCATTTCGAGTCTGAGTAGAATACTTGAAAATTGTTCTTACATCTTAAATCTACATGTATTTTCTCTCCATACCTGAAACCATAAACCTTTCCCTTATTAATATCTGGCTACCTAACCACCACATCTTACAGTAACACACTGCAAGAAAATCCAAGACAACTTTAAAAACAGTAGGTGAACTATTTTTCTTATTCCCCTGTTTCTCTTCTCACATACTAAGTTGTCCCTTTTCATTAATGGATTTTTAAATAGAAAATGACTTCAGGGATCCCTGGGTGGCTCAGTGGTTTATCGCCTGCCTTTGGCCCAGGGCATGATCCTGGAGTCCCTGGATTGAGTCTCACATCGGGCTCCCTGCATGGAGCCTGCTTCTCCCTCCTCCTGTGTCTCTGCTTCTCTATGTCTATCATTCATTCATTCATTCATAAATAAATAAAGGAAAGAAAGAAAAAAGAAAATGACTTCAAATCTGTTAACACAATACTGATTATGGTGCTCATTTTTGTAATCAAGAGAGGCATCTGTGGGAACTACATATCTGCCTATAATCCTGCAATCTTGATCATAATTTCTCCCTAGGTATTGAGTAGCTCAGTTTTCCACAGAGAAGTCTGGAGCACTGCCGGGTGCAGGGCATCTGGTGTTTGTCTCCTACCTGCATTCTTCAAAGACTCCCTACTTAACTTTGGTCTGCTGGCCTTTGCTTAGGACACTGCCCAGGCCGTGTTTTGTGATAGCGGTTTCAAAGGTTTTAATGGGATATATAGTATGTGGGTGATATTATGGTTCACGAGTTCCAGATTCTCATATCAGACTAACCACCTCACTTTTCTTGTCTCGTGAAATGTGATGGGTATGCTTCTGACCACCCTTTCTTGACTTTCTGGTGGTTAAGAAATACAGGGTGCCAAAAAAAATCAGGTGCTTTTTACACAGCCTGGTTTCAAGTTTTGTGTTATGATTTGGGAGCAAAGTGATCATTGTATGTTACTTTGCTTGGTTTTTGACTTATTTGTGCATTTGCTCTATTGGGGACCCAGGTGCTTTTCAGAGAGTACTGTTGCATTAGTCAAGAAGCACTAACATTTGTAGCCTTTTTAAAATCCCATCCTCCAAAAGTAAATAAATAAAATAAATAAATAAATAAAATAAAATCCCATCCTCCAATTTTGATTTCTCTTAAATCACTAATAGTCTGCCTTGGTTGGGTAGGTTTAATTAAAAAAAAAAAATCTCTTATTTGAATGGCATTTGGGGTTAGGGAGCCAGGGAAAGAGACAATTGGGTTTTAAAGCATCCTGAAATTGCTTGCATTCCCTGTATACTTCAGCAAGGAATCAAATGGTCACACGTGGCAGGGGAACTCCTATTTTAAGATTATGATTTGACTTTCTTTTTCCAAGTTCTAAAATAACGAAAACATCTTTAATGGTTGGAGAACAGGAAACTGTTCTGGGGGTCAGAAATGACAAGGTGCAGATGGGGACATACTGAAGGCAGTAGCAACCAGGATCACTCAGCCCACAGTTCTAGTCACCCATGAAGGCCATCAAGGAAAACCTGCAAAGCATGCCTATGGGAGTCCCCAACTCTGAGCAGCAGACAAATGCAAGGGTAAGTGTACTAGATAGGAAGCACTGCGACTGTGACTTTTGTCTTTGTCTCACTGTGCAAAGCCCTGTAGGGAGTGGTTTGTCCACTGAGATAAAGGGGCATGATGCCCCGAGTAACTTCAAGCTACCACAACAAACAGAGGAAAAACTTTGCTTGGCCTAGCTGAAGATTCCAGGGAACAATCTTCAACTCCCCAGGAAATATATAAAGCAGTAACCCACGGTGCTTGCTTAGCAGAACGTGAAACATCCCTGACTTTCCTATGCTCTGTAATCAGGCATTTTCTCACTAAGAAACATGCACAGAAAAAAAGTAGAAGGCTTCATTCAGCTTTCCTTTTCCTTAAGGATAAAAATATTTGAGCATTGTCACCCACATAATTTTTTTTGTAAAATTCCTTAAAAATCAGTAAATATATGAAAAGGCTTCACACTCTAAAAAGAAGGACCCCATCCTACAGAATCAGCAGAAAACTTTAATTTCTAATCTTAATCCCAAAATTTACAGCAACTTGGTATCTCTCAGCATTAGATCAGAAATGGTTTCCTTCAAATGAAAACTAAGTTTTACAAAATCCTCAACTACAAATACAAGTAGTGATACTCAAGAAACCTGAGTTTCTGATACAACAAATGTGAAATCTAGATCTAGGAGGAGCAAAAATTAGGAATACAAGAAGGAATGAACATAAATAGGGGAGAAGCAACAAATAGAGACATGGGGAGATGTTCAAAAAAATACTACCGACAAAGATAAGAGTGACATCAGAATTCTGCATTTCTGTCAAACTTGAACAGAACTCTGTGAAATGCAAAACAGACAAAATAGTATTAGAATCAGCTTAGCGGAGTTTCCACGTAATAACATTAGATATCTCACGTGAACTAAATGTTCTTTGAAATGTTTACCAAACATTTACAAAAAAAATATATATCAAGAAAATGATTATTATACAGGCCACATTTTTCTGAGGGACATTAAATCTAAAAAATCAAGCCCCCAGAAACTAAAAACTCTTCTAAATAACCTCTGACTCAAAATTGGAATTAAGACTAAAATTAGATTTAGTTCGGGCAAATCCTTAACAAGGGGCGTTAGCAAAGAGGTTATTTGATACTAAAAAGGCAGCTTTCAACTCCCAGAAAACGGCAGAATAAAACAGTACAGTATCTGTGTTTTAGAGAATGCATCTGTTGAAAAATCTCTACATGCAAATAAATTGTCTACACCTGTAAAAGAACAAGTTGCACAAAGAAATGTTAAGTCAGAACTCAAAGAAATACATTTCTAGTACAAGATGTCTTTGTGCCAACTCAAACAATGAAAGAGAAATGTGGAAAATCGCAGCTCGACTATACTCTGAAAGAACCTGCTGTATGGAATATGGCCAGTGTCAGGAATCCTGATGACATGGTGAGCTCCAGGGAAAAGCTGGACCAGAGACACAGGTTTCCCAGCTATCCAGAAGTAAAGCATTCCCATAAAAAGTTCTGTAAGCAGAAATGGCATAAAGAAGCAGTTACCATTAATTTATATAAAACATTTGAACACTCATAGATTCCCCTCCCCGCAAAAAAAACTCTCTTTAATGGTTTTCCTGTTACCTTAGGACACATCTTGCTAATAAATGCACACACACACACACACACACAAATTAGGATCAAGCACAGATGTTCGCAGAGTGAGTTTAAAGCAATGGCAGCTTAATGCTGAGATGCTCAGTGTAGTTCCCAGGGAGGGAGCTTGGTGGGGCCACTCTCCCCACTTGGGTTGCATGCTGCTCAACACCTTTCACTCCCTGCCTTTTTTGGTAAAAGTGAAAGTCCTCTTCTGATTTCTTTCGGTTAGCAAAAACACGTATGAATGT